GTAGAAAGTAGTAGGGGTTTAGTAGAAGTAATAGTAGTAGAAATAGTAAGTAGTAGTAGTAGTAGTAGTATAGTATGGTAAGTAGTATGTATAGTAGTAGTAGTAGTAGTTAGTAGTAGTAGTAGTATAGAGTAGTAGTGGAGTAGAAGAAATAGTAGTAGTAGTAGTAGTATTTGTAGTAGTAGTATAGTAGTAGTAGTAGTAGCAGTAGTAGTAGTAGTGTAGTAGTAGTAGTTAGTAGTAGTAGCAGTAGTAGTATAGTAGTAGTAGCAGTAGTAGTAGTAGTAGTAGTAGTAGTAGTAGTAGTAGCAGTAGTAGTAGTAGTAGTAGTAGTAGTAGCAGTAGTATGGGTAGTAGTAGTAGTAGTAGGTAGTAGTAGTAGTAGTAGTAGTAGTAGCAGTAGTAGTAGTGTAGTAGTTATGTAGTAGCAGTAGTAGTAGTGAAGTAGTAGCAGTAGTAGTATTTAGTAGTATAGTAGTAGTAGTAGTAGCAGTAGTAGTAGTAGTAGTAGTAGTAGTAGTAGTAGTAGTAGTAGTAGTAGTAGTAGTAGTAGTAGTAGCAGTAGCAGTAGTAGTAGTAGTAGTGTAGTAGTAGTAGTATAGTTAGTAGTAGAAAGGTGTATTTAGTGTAGTAGCAGTATTTAGTAGTAGTAGTAGTAGTAGTAGTAGCAGTAGTAGTAGTAGTAGTAGTAGCAGTAGTAGTAGTAGTAGTAGTAGTAGTAGTAGTAGTAGTAGTAGTAACAGTGGTAGTAGAAGTAATAGTAGTAGTGGTACAGTATTATCTTTATTTCTATTATTTAAGTGTTATTATTTATACGTTTTTTTTTCACATACTGATTAACAACAAAGTAAACAATTGCAGCCCTGCCCATGTGTGCGTCTTAAATATGTATTAAGTAAGTAAGTTTAATCAGGTATACACAAATACAGTTACATAGAATTATCATACATAGCAGCATATGTGTCGAGAACTCTGGTTGTAGAGCTTCCAACATTACATTACTTAAATTCTGCTCACACGTGTCATCCCCTCTCCCCCCCCTTCTCTTCCAGCTTTACAGTATATCTTTATTTAGTACAAGTACATGTACAAGGTGTACAGACCTAGCTGACATCAATGACATACTGCTATATAGAAAGCCTCTTGTTATTACCTGGAGTTTACCTGGAGAGAGTTTCGGGGATCAACGCCCCAGCGGCCCGGTCTGTGACCAGGCCTCCTGGTGGATCAGAGCCTGATCAACCAGGCTGTTACTGCTGGCCACACGCAATCCAACGTACGAGCCACAGCCCGGCTGGTCAGGTACCGACTTTAGGTGTTTGTCCAGTGCCTGCTTGAAGACAGCCAGGGGTCTATTGGTAATCCCCCTTATGTATGCTGGGAGGCAGTTGAACAGTCTCGGGCCCCTGACACTTATTGTATTGTCTCTTAACGTGGTAGTGAAACCCATGCTTTTCATTGGGGGGATGTTGCATCGTCTGCCGAGTCTTTTGCTTTGTTGGAGTGATTTTCGTGTGCAAGCTGGGTCTGTCCCTCTAAAGATTTTCCAATGTATTGTTTTCCGATCTCTCCCGCCTGCGCCCCGGGGATACAGGTTCAGGAACTTCAACGCCCCCAAAATTGGGGTGTTTTATTCGTTATGCGCCCCGTAAAGGGTTCTCTGTACTTTTCTGGGTCAGCTTTTTCACCCCTTGAAAGGTGATGCAGAGTAGTCGGGCAAATTAGTCATTTTTGTCCCGGGACGACCCACACAGGTCGATTAACCCTAGTACTTTTTTACGAGGGGTGAACACAAAACCCGGGAAAAAAAAAACACCCCCAAATGTTTTACCCCGCGGGAATCGAATCCAAACACTCGCAGTGTGAATGAGAGCTTTGGGCCACCAGGCTAATGGTTTCAGGTGTTATATGGTCGATTTTTCTTTTCTTACTGTTCTCCCCCCCTCCCCCTCCCCCTCTCTCTCTCTCCCCCCTCCCCTCTCTTCTCCCTCTCCCCTCTCTCCTCTTCTCTCCCCCTCTCTCTCTCCCCTCTCCTCTTTTCTTCATTTGGGTAAAATCGTTTTTCCCCTGACCCAAAATGATTAAAAAAAAGGCGTAAATAACAGGGCCATGCATTTGCCCCAGGCCCAGACCAGGAACTCCGCGTTCATCAAGAACTAAAGAAAAACCCCTTTACGTACTTTTTAACATTCTAGAGGCAGCGTGGCACGTGTAACCCCCAGCTGCAAAACAACAGACATAGCCCACCCACAAAGGGGGGAGTAAAGCATACAAAGAAACTACGACTGATAGATTAATTACCATATCCTAAAATTTTGAAGGGGGGTTTAAAAGCAAAATGCCACCCAACAAATACCCACAGTTACACAACCCCGGACCCCCACGACAAGGGTTTTGGATGCTCTAGAAGACATACAAAAAGCAAGGTAACCAGTGTAATAGCGCACAAAATGCGTGTAAAAAAATAACAGGGAAAAATTTCCAGTGGATCTATAATTTCCTAAAAATAAAAAAAAAAGAGTAGAAGTAAACATAAAGCTAAGGGACACGGGAAAAAACTTGTTCCACAAGGGCCAGTACCGCTCCCATCCTGTTCCTCACTCATATTAAAAAAACAGGGGTTTTAACCAAGCGCCCGGGCTTCCTTTGCAAATGACACCCGAATTTACATAACTGTCCTCCATTGAAGACACCGCAAGACTCCCGGCAGACATCAACAAAATCTTCTAATGGGTCTCAGAAAACAATATGAAGTTCAGTGATGAGAGATTTCAATTACTCCGATATGGAAAAAGTGAGGAAATTAAACTACATCGGAGTATATAACAAATTCCACCCACACAATAGAGGGAAAAACTAATGTAAAAGACCTGGGAGTGATCTTGTCAGAGGATCTCGCCTTCAAAGGCTACAACAATGTATCAATCGCATCTGCTAGAAAAATAACAGGCTGGATAATGAGAACCTTCAAAACTAGGGATGCCAAGCCCATGATGACACTCTTCAGGTCGCTTGTTCTATCTAGGCTGGAATATTGCTGCACACTAACAGCACCTTTCAAGTCACGTGAAATTGCTGACCTAGAAAATGTACTGAGAACCTTCACGGCGCACATAACTGCAATAAAACATCTCAGTTACTGGGAACACCTGAAGTTCCTCAACCTGTACTCCCTAGAACGCAGGCGGGATAGATACATGATTATATACACCTAGAAAATTCTAGAGGGATTTGTTCCAAACCTACACACAAAAAATCACTCCCTATGAAAGCAAAAGACTCGGCAGACGATGCAACATCCCCTCATTAAAAAGCAGGGTGCCACTAGCACGATAAGAGGCAACACAGTAAGTGTCAGGGGCCCAAGACTGTTCAACTGCCTCCCAGCATACATGAGGTGGATTACCAAAAGACCCTGGCTGTCTTCATGCAGGCACTGGACAGGTACCTAAAGTCAGTACCTGACCAGCCGGGCTGTGGTTCGTACGTCGGGTTGCGTGTGGCCAACAGTAACAGCCTGGTTGATCAGGCCCTGATCCACCATGATGCCTGATCACAGATCGGGCCGCGGTGGGTTGACCCTCGGAACACTCTCCAGGTGTACTCCAGGTAGATAATAATCTTTATTTCTGCAAGTACATGAACAAGGTGTACAGGCCATAGCTGACATCTATGACAGACTACTATATAAAAAACCGCTTCTTATACAGAACATTTCGGGCAAAATTAGGCCAGTTTTGTCCCAGGATAAGACCCACACACAAGTACCTATTTTCCGATAGGTGAACAGAAACAGTAGGTGTCTTAAGGAAACACGTCCTAATGTCCCCACCCATACCAGGGATCGACCCCCGCCCCAGACCACAATGTGTGAGGTGAGTGCGCTAAAAACCAAGCTAGCAGTCCTCTACTTTTCATTATCCTTTTAACCCCTTTAATTGATAGTTAACGTCTACTGTCTTCCCCGTGGTAATTCCCTTTACTCTGTCTATGTGTCTAATCTCCTTTTCTCTGTTTACGTGTTTACTCTCTTTATTCTATCCCTGCATTCATGCCTTTTTACTTTTTCCTTGTTTATCCCTCAACCTTTTTTTTCACTCAGTGTTTTCCCCACATTCGTCCTTAACTCTCCATTGCATGAAATATCTATTCTGCATGTCCCCGAAGGAGCTAATATTGATATTCAGAGGAATGAGAGGTGTAAACTGTATGAATACGAACACTATGAGATTGCTACACTGGTTGGCTTGGCATGCATCACTTTACCAGATTCTTCTGCACTAGAGAGGGAGAGGGTAGGGAGAGAGAGAGAGAGAGAGAGAGAGACAGAGACAGAGACAGAGAGAGAGTGTGTGTGTGTGTGCGTGTGTGTGTGTATATATATATATAGGAGGAGCCAAGCTTTCGAACAAGTCACTAAAGGGAGTGAGACCAAGCATCTGAGCATACACCTCGTCGTGCTGTAAACAGTCATCGGGAAGCAGTTTTCAAGTTTATCTTTCAAATTGCCATGAAAACCGTAAGTGTGAAGTAAAAACAAAAAATGTTTACTAAAGAATTAGCCTCGAGTCAGCTTCGTTGTTTGCGTCCTCTGGTAATCCACTGTGGTCAGAAGAGTGAGATCTGTAATGAGGATTTGATGATAAGGTTTCCCATCTTTACTCATGAGTTGCCTTCACGTTGGTTAGAGAATACTGATACACAGTCAATGGTATCAGGCCAGAAGCATGAATGAGGATAATGAAGATTATTTATTTCATCACGATACAATGTTTGTATAGAGATGGATGACATTTAGGTGTGCGTGAAGAAGCTCCTTGGTATGCTGAGTATTTCGGGCATATAGAATAACCTACCACCCAGACAATGTTTAGCTCTCTGTAAATCTTCGCCAAGTCATAACCTACAAACCACTGTACACATGGAGGTAGAACTCATGGCTAGTGAGTCGTAAAACTCCAGGCCAGTGACTCAATAAAGATCTGCACAGAGCCGAACGGTATCATTTTAAACGACTGTTTTGCAACTTGCGTAGTTTTTTCAACATTGTCGACAAAACGCAGAACCTGCCTAGCATACACCAAGAGAGCTCCTGCTGGGCTCCTTCTTCTTACAAAGTCTTACATAGTCTTATGGTAGAGCTGTGGTTGTGTGAGAACCACTTCTGTGGTTCAAGTAATTACAAAAAAATCTGGCTGTGGCTAATAGTTTCAAGATTCACATGAGAGTATTTTATCCGACCTGAGTGATATGCTGGTGAAGTGCAGTCATGTTATTTAAGAAATTCAGAAAAAGGCGTATGAAGACTTGCAGAAAAAATTTCCCTTGAATTTCTTGCACTATATTATTATTGTTATTTATTATTATTATTATTATTATTATTATTATTATTATTATTATTATTATTATTATTATTATTATTATTACTATTATTATTATTATTATTATTATTATTATTATTATTATTATTAAATTTTTTTATAATTGTTATTATTATTATTATTATTATTATTATTATTATTATTATTATTATTATTATTATTATTATTATTATTATCATCGTCATCATCATTGTTGTTGTTAATCAAATCACAGAAAGGGTTGGGATCCAACCCATGGTATTACAGCCTTAAAACACTCAGCCTATGTACTATCCACTGGGCCAGTTGGCTTTACTAGGAGTCGTCCAACTAAGTTTATTTCTATACACCATAGGGAGGTTAGCATGGGCCACCACTGTGGCCGCAAATACAGTTTTTTCACAGATGATTTCCCCTCCAGCTTGTGTCGTGCTCTAGCACAAGTCCCCGCAAAGCCGCCATCATGACTGCAAACAAATCACGGATGACTGAATCTTCCTGGAGCCACCTAGTCCAGTGGTTAGCGCACTGGCCTCTAAGTTTTAAAACTCACTTGCCGAGGGTTCGATCCCTCATCCGTTCTAGGATTTGCTTGCACTCATGTTTTAGGAATTCGTGAGTCGTTAATATTATTGTTTCGTCAGTGTCAGTAACTTCGTCATCTCATGGCAGAGGATGAATCCTTCAACGATTCGTTATTTATATAAAAGAAAGTCCGTGTGTTGCATTGTAGAATGGCGTGATTACCCACATATATTTAGTAAAATAAAGATGTGTTAAGTAACTACAACTAATGCAACATTTTAAATGTTGCATTAGTTGCACTTGGGTCCTTTAACCTAACATAGTGTTGATAATTCTACCAACATTATTGCACAATAAAGACAATATGTGTAGAGTGAACCTTTATTTACAGATGATTTATTGCCTTAACTTGGCAGTTATTAAGTAAAATGCTTGATAGAGATAGGATGAAGCTCTAATTAGAGATGCTGGTTAGCTCTGTATTTACTGGCTTTTTTTTTTTGTTTTTTTTTTTTTTACTGAGACGGAGAAATATATCATCCAAAATCTAACACTTTTTTTTTCGTTTTTAACTTTCAGGTGTCGCTGATATTGGGTGTAGTGGTGGCACTGACCTTACTGATGGAGTCAGCCATGCCTCACCCCTACGCCCTGGGTCACCATGACTCTCACGAGCACGGCTATGGCGGAGGTTTTGGAGGAGGTTTTGGCGGTGGTTTTGGCCATGGTTTTGGCCATGGTTGGTTTGGCCATGGTGGTTTTGGTCACGGAGGTCATGGTCATGGTCATGGTCATGGTCATGGTCATGGTCATGGTCATGGTCATTTTCATGGTTATGAAGATTATGGTCATGGAGATCATCACGGCTTTTTGACCACTTTGGTTAGGCTGTTCAGGATTATGATTTCTATGGTCAGTCTTGTATACAGTTATTATATCTTTCATTCATGTCCTTGAATTTGTATTGGTAAAGTCACTGGATGGCGAAACGTCTTCAATAAAAATACCCAGATGTTGCACAGGTGTCTAATTTTTTCATATCTTGGAGAGTGTTCCTTGTATTCTCGACTTACTTCAAAGTTCCAGTCACAGATAACATGATCTTTTTTAAGACTACGACACGGACAATAAAAGCTTTCATTTGTTTGTGTATTGGAGGAAATGTGACTAATAAACAGAAGTCTTCTTGAGCCTGTGTGTCTTGGACCAGCCTGACATGGGCCAGTAGGCTCGCTGCAGTGCTCTTTCTTACGTTCAAGTAGTTTCCTCAACCACCACGGACTATACCCTTTACCCTCCAGCACTGCCTCTTCCATACTTGCAAATGTATATACACAGAGAGGTATATGTCTCTTAGTGTATATACATAGAGAGTTATGTCTCTCATTGTATATACACAGAGAGGTATATGACTCTCACTGTGCACAGAGAGTTATATGTCTCTCAGGGTATATACACAGAGAGGTATATATCTCTCAGTGTATAAACACAGTGTATATACACTGAGAGCTTGATATGAGCCCTATTTTAGGAATTAAAGTATCCTTGGCTGTTGGTAAACAGGTTAAATGCATCCTTAATGATCCTTCGTGTGGTCGTTTGGGTTTAAACCAATTTAATCAACCACCGACAAAGCCTCAAGACACAGCTAATGTTCTCACAATGGTTGTAAGTGTCCAACTAATTGTTTAGTAATTAGCAAGTGTAAATTGTGCACACAAAATAATATTTTATGTCGGTATTGTATAACATTTATGAACAATATTTTATACATATATAATTGATTAAATAAATGTTAAAATTGTATTAGTTTTTCGTATATCCTTTACGAAAACACACACACACACACACACACACACACACACACACACACACACACACACACACACACACACACACACACACACATATATATATATATATATATATATATTTTATATATATATATATATATATATATATATATATTTATATATAATATATATATACATATGTATATTTATTATATATATATATATATATATATATATAATATATAATATATATATATATATATATATATTATTATATATTAGAAGATTTAAGAGATACATTGTTGATATAAAGGTGGCATATACGGTACATGTTGTTACGTGTGTATCACCGATTATAAGGCGAAATCTCATCCAGCTCCTCAGAGCTGGGGCGTGTGCCAAAATGCAGCATGCATTACCCCTTTGAACAGCCGCACTGAGCCGCTGGAACAGAAAATAGCTGCCCTGGGATCCCTAGTTACCCTGATGAGTCTTTTTCCAGCTCCTTAAGGAATTAGATGCACTCTTTCCCCATGAGCCAAGGGTCTCTGAGCCTATGGGAACAAACATATATATGATGGGCAAGTTCTCCATATTTTCTAGACTTTTGGGGCTCCCTAAAGCTGGCAGCTGCCCCTCCTTCCTCCCTGGTGTATTGGAGATAGGTATCAGCCAAGGTAGATGCACATGTATAGTCCCACACCACCTGCTTCCCATCTGTCCAGGCTTGAAGGGTGATACCACCTGGACGCTTCTGGCTGCCCTCAGATCTGCATAGTTGGGGTGGCTCCTTACTGCTGGGCATCCAGCTGTTGTGAGGCTCCTCTTGATAATGTTATTTAACCTCCTCATGTCTTGCAATCTTTCCCTCGGATTTACGGCACACAAGACCATGGTACCCGAATCGGTCTGCTGCTTCACTGCCACAAATACACCTGTGTTCGGCGAGAATAGGGGCGGCAAGTCGAAGGGCAACACCGATGCGGATGGTCTGTGGGTCGAGGCGTGTGCCAAGGCTGGAGTTGGGAACAGCCAACAGAAAGTCCCCAGCATGAGGGGCTCTCACTGCCGCAGGCGGGCTCTATCCTTCCCTGACACACTCTGAAGCATCGTTGAGGCTATATTTTCCACTATTGGACCATCCCAGTGCGATTGTATTATATATATATATATATATATATATATATATATATATATATATATATATATATATATATATATATATATATATATATATATATATATATTTATATATATATATATATGCAAGACACAATGAGGTCAACGACATCATAAAATAACCCTTGCTACAGATGGATGCCCAACCGAGAGGGAGCCCCGATCACTAGAAGCCAAACAATACCCACAACCCAGAATATCCGCCCAGTGGGATCACCATCTACCACCATGGGACTATACCTGTGTGTCCACACTGGCTGACATCTACATCCATCACAGTGTCGGGCGACAGGGAGGAGCTGCTGACCACAGGGAGGAGTACAAGATCAGCAAGTACGGGGACATAAGCCAACATTATCAATTTGTCCCAGTGGGATCAGAGACCTTGGGATCATGGGGAAAAAATGCCACACGTTTCCTTAAAGAATTGAGTTCCAGACTCATCGACACCACCAGGGACCCAAGGGTAGCCACTTTCATGTTCCAGCGCCTCAGCGTGGCCATCCAGAGGGGAAATGCATGCTGCATACTGGGCTTGCGTCAGGCTTTGGAGGAACTGGAGGAGATTCATAACCTTTGATATATTGTACCAATGTATTCATGTTTGTGTTTTCTATCAGTGCATTCTGTCTATTAATAAAGTTCACATGTAGCTTAAAAATATAGGGGGTGGTAGGAAAAGAAAATATTCAAACAGCTCCGGGGAGGACCTTGATTTTTTCCCTGAGGTACTTTAATTGTCTTCTCTGAGGATGAGGGCCCCCAGTAAAGTTCTAGAGGTGGTACCTCCCTATATTATATATATATATATATATATATAATATATATATATATATATATAATATATATATATATATATATATATATATATATATATATATTATATATATAATATATATATGTTGCGGTCATGCAACAAGGGCGTATATCAACAACCTGCCTGAGGACAATGCAGTGGTAAAATTAGATTTCAAGAATCCCGTTCAATCTCCTGAAAAGAGACGTAATACTAGCAGCAGTACAAGAACATTTCCCTGGTCTTTTTCCCTTTTGTTTCAGCTGGGTATAGCAAGGAATCAATGTTTCTCTTTGGAGAGCATGAAATCACATCTCGGAGGGTGTCCAACAAGGAGATCCTCTTGCACCATTTTTCTTCTTTTATAGCAGTTAGGGAAATCAAGTCAGACTGACCAGCGAGCTAACATCTGGTTTCCTAGATGATGGCACACTAGCAGGTACAAAGGAGTCCCTCCTACTGACCTTACACAGGTAATGACACGGCGACAGGAAATGGGTATCATCCTAAAATCCATCCAAATGTGAAATCATCTCAGTCAGTCAACAAGTGATAAATGCAGTGAGATCAAAACAAACCAGGAGCAGCAGTCTTTGCCCCCACAAATGTGTCTTGCTAGGAGCACCTCTGGAAGGGCCAATGCCATTACACAATTCTCAGGAAGGGAAATTGCAAGAGTTAAGGAGAATGGAACAACGAATAGGCAATCTGGACACCCACGATGCCTTGTACCTTCTCACAAAGTGCTTGAGTCGCCCGGGTTTTGAACATATTTTCCTAAGATGTGCACCTTCATATGATAACCTATACTGCAGAAATGACAGTATTCTGAGGCGATTGTTTACAAAAGTATTTAACCTTACTCTAGAAGACGGGCTTGGAACCAAGCTACACTTCCAGTCCATTGGCTTTCCGCAAGTCTCACAGATTGGGTTACCTGCTTTTCTGTCCTCGTGTATTGCATTCAGAGGGCTTGTACGCGATTCTCCCTGAACACCCTTAGGACAATTTGAGTCCAGGACCAAAGTTCATTGGCGGAGCCATGATCTGGGATAATCTAACGGGCTCTGAAACCAGACCTGCTCCCCCCAACAACTACAAACAATCGCACTGGGATGGTCCAATAGTGGAAAATATAGCCTCAACAATGCTTCAGAGTGTGTCAGGGAAGGATAGAGCCCGCCTCCAGGCAGTGAGAGCCCTCATTTAGGGGACTTTCCGTTGGCTGTTTCCAACTCCAGCCTTGGCACACACCTCGACCCACAGATCATCCGCATTTGGTGTTGCCCTTCGACTTGCCGCCCCCATTCTCGCCGAACACAGGTGTATTGTGGCAGTGAAGCAGCAGGGCCGATTCGGGGCACCATGGTCCTTGTGTGCCGAAAATCCGAGGAAAGATTGCAAGACATGAGGAGGTTAATAACATTATCAAGAGGAGCCTCACAACAGCTGGGTGCCCAGCAGTAAGGGAGCCACCCCAACTATGCAGATTGATGGCAGCCAGAAGCGTCTAGATGGGCATCAAACCCCTTCCCAAACCTGGACAGATGGGAAGCAGGTGGTGTGGGACTATACATGGTGCATCTACCTTGGCTGATACCTATCTCCAATACACCCGGGAGGGAAAGGGGGGGCAGCTGCCCGCTTCAGGGAGTCCCAAAAGTTAGAAAATATGGAGAACTTGCCCATCATTATATGTTTGCTCCCATAGGCTCAGAGACCCTTGGCTTTGGGGAAAGAGAGTACCTAAATTCCTTAAGGAGCTGGGAAAAAGACTCATCAGGGTAACTAGGGATCCCAGGGCAGCTAGTTTTCTGTTTCCGGCGGCTCAGGGGGGCTGTTCAAAGGGGGAATGCCTGCTGTATTTTGGGCACACGGGCCCCAGCTCTGAGGAACTGATGAGATTTTTTGCCTTATAATCGGTGATACACACGTAAAAACATGTACCTTATATGCCCCCTTCATAATCAACAATGTATCTCTTAAATCTTCTGTACCATATTATGTAATAAAATACTCCTATTGGTAAAAAAAATATATATTAAAAGATGGGGTGGTAGGGGAAGTGGAATATTCAAACGGCTTCAGGAAGAAATCCAAATATTCTTCCTTGAAGCCTTTTTATCCACTTCTCCGAGGCTCTGGGGCCCACAATTTACACCAGAGGTGGACCCCATCCTTTTTTAAAAATAGATATATTTTAATATATATATATATATATATATATTATAATATATTTATAATATAATATTATATAAAATATATATAAAATATATATAATTTTATATTCGTTTATAACAGCACGAAGGATACTCATCCCCTGCCAATTTGGGTTTAGAAAAAATAAAGCACAAACGAAGCAACTGTAAAAATGCAAAACCTGCTTTAATAGCACTGGAAAATAATGAATACCAATCAGGACTCTTTATCGACCTAAGGAAAGTTTTGATATAGACGACCACGGCTTCCTACTCCACTAACTTGACCATTACGGTATAAGAGGCCACGCACTTATATATTTCAAATCCTATCTTATTAACAGGTATCAGTACGTCTCCAATAAGGACACAACCTCATCTACACGAACACTTGATACTGGAGTTGCCACTGGAGTCCCCTGTTCTTCTTTTATACATCAATGATCTTCCCAACGTATAAAATCTGAAACCAATTCTCTTCGCTGAAGACACGACTTATTTCATCTCCCCCTTTAAATCTTGCCACCCTCAACACCATTGTTAACCAAGAGCTACTAAAAATAAAAACCTTGAATGGCAGCAATAACTTACACTTTAAAACTGACAAAACCTTCCCTATTGTTTGGTAACAGAAACAGGTGTTGCACAACTGAACATTAAGACTGAAAACACTCTTATTGCTAAACATAAGGAGGGCAAATTCTTGGGCCTACACCTCGACAGCAACCTGAAATTCAGCACCCATATCCAACACATAACAAAAAAATTATCCAAAACGGGTTTGGGGTCCTAAGATACATTACTACGTAGTACGTACCACAATCAGCCCTACTCATCGAT